TAAAACAAAAATACAGAAAAAAAAAATTAGCTAAAACCAGGCTGTGGGCATAAAACCAAATAATAGTCAATAAATCAAGTGCTATAGTATGTTTATTACCAAATGGCTGCAGTCCACAATGAACAATAGGGATAATAATTTAAAAAAAAAAAAAAATAATCAAGTAAATTTTCAATATTATCAAAGAAAACTATTAGTAAAAGAAACTAGAAAAAAAACTATTTGAGAAAAAGAACAATCACTGGACTATCATTAATTAATAAATGAAGTGACCTTTTGATAAAGGGTCAATCAACAAATACAGTACGGCTACTATTGGAATAATAGCTATAGTAATAAACAATTGAATTATATGTAAAAATCTAACGTGTTATTGTAACTCAATAACCAACTGAGTAATAAAAATGTACATATGAAATGTAAGGGTTGAAAATCTAAAATAAAAGAAATAAGAAAATCAATAAACAAATAATTAGTTCTCGGAACGGTTATCTTACACTTATGTAACCAGAACTACCAGTAAGTTGACATAAATTAATCAGGTTATGTCTAGTTAAGTTACCTATATCATTAATTCTTTTGCCACGTTGGGACAAGCACTGAATTACCCCCTGAAATACTGTAGTGATCACTGAGGTGTACAAATAGGGACAGAATGTAAATAAACAATAATAATAATACATATAGGTTAACTAAAACTAGTACGATACCAAAATGTTCCAGGTGATAGTGGTTGATACAATTAACCAGATTAGTTCTGGCTACTGGTTGTGGTTAGGTAGTCGAACCAATCTTACGGTTCAAATTTACGGTCCAGAAGGCTTGTGTAACCGTCTAACTACTTAGGCTGGTGTCTGATAGACTTTTAGTTGAATTTCGGTCACAATTGAAGGTGTATTGTTCTAACCGTGAGTAACAACTCGGTGGTAAAAGAAAAACCCTAAGAGAAAAACTATTATAACACACTGTATTTGTAATTGAACCATAGCGAAGCACTTCACGAATAGATCGAATTAGAAAATGAAACTAAAAAAGGGTTTTTCAATAAGGACGGGTCAATGTTAAAATGCAATAAAACAAGCTGTGTGTAAAGTATTACCAAAATTTTATTTTTAATTTAAGGGTCTTTGTATGCCATTATTTATGGAATATCACATCATTCAAATGTCCGCCGCGGCTTCTCACGGTGGCACGGATCCGATTGGTCCAATTTTCAATTACACTGCCGCATAGATCCGGCTGAATTTGAGCGATCGCCTGGGTTATGTTCACTTTAAGGGCATCGGTCGATTGCGGCTTATTGGCATAGACCTGAGACTTCAGAAAACCCCACAAGAAGTAGTCCAGAGGGGTCAAATCGCACGACCTTGGCGGCCAATTTGCGTCACCTCTGCGAGAGATAACCGTACCCTCAAATCGTTCATGCAGAATATTCATCGTGGCGTCCGCTGTGTGGCAAGTAGCACCGTCCTGCTGGAACCACATGTCGTTCACGTCGATATTGTTTATTCTGGGCCAAAAGAAATCGGTAATCATGGTTCTGTAGCGGTCGCCGTTGACGGTGATTGCTTTACCAATTTCGTTTTCAAAAAAGTACGGACCAATCACGCCTCCAGCCCAAAATCCGCACCAGACGGTAACTTTTTGTGGATGCATTGCCACCTGATGAACCTTTTGTGGGTTGGCATTATTCCATATACGGCAGTTTTGTTTGTTTACAAAGCCATTCATCCAAAAATGCGCCTCGTCGCTAAAGATAATTTTTCTGCCAAAATTAGGGCTCTCTTCCAAACGCTCCGATGCCCAGTCAGCAAACAAACGACGTTGTCTATGGTCATTAACTTTGAGCTCCTGGGTCAATTGGATCTTGTACGGGTGCAGGCCCAAGTCCCGATGCAAAATTCGCCATGTTGAATTTTCTGAAAGGCCGAGTTCTTGTGCACGGCGAGGAATTGACTGCCTTGGGTTCTTCTGCACACTTTCCCGGACAGCGGCGATATTCTCGGCCGATCTGGCGTTTCTTTGACGTACGGGTGTTGGCTGATTGTTTACCGAGCCGGTCGTATCGAATTTGGCCACCAAACGTTGGAGAGTCGACTTTGAAGGGCCACCGCGTCGGCCGTAAAATGGACGCAACGCGCGCAACGTTAGGACCAACGAACAATCATTTTGATAATAAAGTTTTATCATTTGGACGTGCTGTTCAATCGTGTAAGTTGTCATGGTAATTTGGCATTAGTGACTGAATAATAAACAACAGGTAAAACAAATGCTTTGGAAACAACATGGCCCCCACAGGCTGCCAACTTCGACCCGTTCCAATTGAAAAACCCTTAATGTAACTCAATTTACTTGATAAAAAAAAAACTATAGCTCTTGAAAATTATTTTAATAGAAAAATTGAACAATAATGTATTAATTAATTAAATTAGATGAAATCATAATAAAGCTTTAATAGTAATTAAAGATAATGTGCTTCGAGTTTGCATAAAAAAAATTGAAGTTGATAAGGTTATGTTTTTACCTGTTGAAAATAGAGTTTGTTTGCCTCGAAATTCTCTGGAAATTTGGATCGAGGTCTGGATTGGATATCCTGGAGTGAGTGGGATTGGATATCCTGGAGTGAGTGGGCTGTAGGGCAGCTTTTAACTAATGATTAAATTGAAAAAGTCAGAATCTACCGTGGGAAAAAAACGTGTGCAGCAACTTACCACATGGAGTTGTAAAAAACCGAATTAATCGGCGAAAATTATAGCACTACGAAAACGTAAGGCAAAAGGCAACTAAATGTGTTATAAATTCAATTGAGAATTTAAGGTCAAAATCCTACAAAGGCGAAGACAATCTTCAAATTAAAAGACCTTATTTCTCCAATGTCCAGATGTGAAAAGAAATGTACTACACCTAAAATTAATAAGCTAGCCTAAAGGGAGGATTTCAGAGATGATTCAGAATAACAACAAACATCAAAAATTAATCGATAGAATTCTTACTTACCCAAAAATTGCACACAACAATATAATCCGAGAAAAATGGCTGACGAATAATGATATTAACAACAAATAATTATCCCATAAAACAATCATAACTTGAAGAATACAACATAGAGCAAGTGATCCGTTTGCAAAATTAGAGAATCGACGATACTAAAAACATTACTAATCGACAGCCGGTTGACAGAAATTATTGACGTTTCAAAAGTCAAAAAACCAAAAGCAAGGATAGCACAGAAAACGACTCAAAGACTATCGAACCAATGATCGACCCGGGTTTCACTAGAACTTGTACCGAGTTCAATAACTCAATAACCGAACAGAGTAAGAAAAGTAAGAACAAAGTAGTTCTGTACATACAATTGAGAACAGATTAGGTCTGTTTCTGCAGAAATGACAAACCAGTCAGAACGAATTTCATTGGTTGAAAACAGTCAGAAAACTAGTTTCAACCAATGAAATTCACTCTGACTGGTTTTTGATCTCTGCAGAAACAGACCTATTATTATGATTTGGGAACATAACCCCACGAATTATTTTTGACAAATGGATATTTATTTGTTTATGAAAATCAGATGATGGAATCAAAATATTGATTTGTTTTGATTTTGAAATTGAATTAAAATATGGAATAAAATCGAGAAAAAATCATTACAGCACAGGAACTAGTAACAAATGAAAATAGAATTTGACTATTGAAAATTAGGAAATTTACAGGATCTACAACCGTTGAGATTGTTGCTGAAATTTTATAGAGAGAAAATGTTGACAAATTTAAGGAAATTTTGAATAGAAAACTGAAAGTAGGTAAGAATTAGTTGTGCAATTTTGGCCTGTTACACCTGTCCTGTGGTAACACTTGAATGCTACTTTACATATTTTTGTTGATCTCTGTTGAATCCTCAAGATTATGTTCAAGCTCCCTATCAGCCACTTTAAATTCCTCAAGCTATGCAGTTGAATCCAAATTAGTGTTAATAAGATTCGGAATATTTAGAGCAAGTTGAAATACCTATTTCAAATTGGAGCTCTTGTGTTATTTCAGAGCATTTGTTTTTCAGAGTTTCTAAGCTTTTATCCTTATTAGCAAATTCCTTCTATGTTTTCTCAATCTTCTTGGCGATCAAAAAAATTTGTTTTGCTTTTGTTACATATATTACTGTTTTCAAGGTTGATAAACTTCAATATGGGTCTCAGTAACCTATGATCACTAGTATCAAGATTATTTACGACCGCAATGTATTTTACAATTTTTCTTTAAGTTGTGATAATGCAATCAATCTCAGTTGTTACCTTAAATATGAGTGATGAGTCTGGATTTCTCCATCATCTCCTTTTTAGTGGCCTAGGGGAAAATATATTCAAACAATCCAAAGTGTTCGTTTTGCAGGTAATATGTAATTTTCCTTGGTCGTTTGTGTCGCCCAGACAGAATTTTCTCTAGTATCGGTTATCATTCACGTGAATTTTTCCTACTGTAGTAATAAGTCGCCCATTATGATCTTAGAGTTGAAATTTTTTTTCACTCAAGGCTTCTTTGGGTTCTGTTTTGCAATCACCTATTTTTATGTACATTCGCCATGTTCGATGTTTTATGTTACGTACCCGGCTTTTCGTACATAACTGAGACAACTTCAGAAATAGTTACGCTTATTCTATTCAAGACACTGACACAAAAATCACGACAAAACTAGCATTATCAAAACTGAATCACAACTTACTGTCTTATACTATCGACTTGCGTGCCAATAATTATCCAACTTGAGAGTTTTTTTTTTAATACTACAATAATAATGAAAAATCACAGCAGATTGAGCAGAAAATGTTTACTTGTTTACCTTTGAACCATGCTTTAATATTTTTTGTTTGCTTTTCATGAGCTTGCATACAACCGGCCCATTTATTTTACTCGAAAACAACTTAATATGCCAATAAGTTCAGTGAATGCGAAAAGATACATTTAATAAAAATGCCAGTCGGGATAGTGTAAACGGTTGATGCTGAAAAATGGTGCTCCAAGCGAATAATAACAATTCGAAAAAGAAAATGGAAAAAAAGTCTTCCAACGATGTGGATACTACCGAAAACATTAACATCATCAGAAAAATTATTGACGATTTTGAAAATCAAGCTAAAACCGATAAGAAGCTGAAAAAGAAATTGAGGAATAGGATTATCAGTACTAGTGATAGTACTCTTAGTCATAAAGAATGCAGGTAAGTGAAACTTTACTATTTTTGTTTTCAATAATGAGAGATTTTTGCCTAAAATAGACACAAACCATACATGCTCACATCTTATTTTTACAAATCATAATTTGGTCAAAATATTTAAACTAATCTAATAACAAATATTTAATTTTGAATTGGTAATCAACTTTCAAACACAAATTTTCACTCACTAAGCATTGAAGTTTCTGTAATATCGTGATGTTAATTTAACATCCAACCCATGAATTAGAAGTCAAAAGTAAATTTTCTTGCCCAGTGAATATCTGAAGCTCAACTTTGACCGGACAAACTTATGTACGCGTTATGGTTAACCAAAATTTAGTGAACTTCTGGCTCGAGACCAAACATTTGAATTATCTACATTTAAATTTCATATTTTCAGTCAAACATACTTTAATTCCCTCGCATAAAGGTTTTGCAGTTTTAACATTTTTATATGTATACCTAATGAGATTAAGGCAATTTCATCTTTCAGGCATCCAAAACGTTCCCAGGTGTCACCAAAGCCATCTCACAGCCTCCGGGGAAGCCTTATGTACAGACTCAACAATTGCACTACTCGTTATTATGACCCTTGGAACGAGAACGACAATGCGTTCTCGGATAAAACAGTCGGCAACAATGTTTATATTAATTTCATGGAGAATTGTGATAATGAAAATACCGAAGGAAATCGGTTTGTCCAAGATGCTGAGTATGTCTGTTTACAGGGTGGTTACAGGTTTCAGTCCTTATATTGAAATTTATAGATTAGAATTAAATTATAAAATTATAACCTTTCAATTTTTTTTTTTTTTTAATTTTTTCTTTGTGCCAACACTTGAGCTGATAATATAAGGCAACTTTGTAGATAGGTACCGAAAATACCAGTCGTTCTAGGGACTTAACGTATGCCGGTTCTTGAATACACAAATAAAATTAGGTTAGGAATTTCCTACATGTACAATTGTGAGCATAAAAAGTGGACACCCGTTTTTTCCTATTGTAAAACGAGCTCATCAACTATACCTATCGCAATGACAGGAATTGTCATATCTGACAAAAAATCCATTGTAGAGAAAATACTGATTTACCCAAAATAGCGAAAAATTACAAGACCTGTCAGTCGGGTGTCCCACTTTTTATGCTCACGACTGTACATGAAATTGACATAGTATAAGCAATCGATGCGACGTCCTTTTTTGTTGGTAGTTCTTTATTTCATCTGATTCGTGATTGATAAATAAGCGATGGGGTTATTTTAAATGGGTATTAAAAATATCATACATCAATCATCATAAAAGTGTTTGGAGAAAATAACAGTGCATTCATTCATTAGATTGATTGATGTACAAATATTTCATATCCAATTAAATTAATAGAAGATTCAATGCATGTAAAATTATCATCAAACATCCATTGCTGGAATAAGAATTTTTCAAATGCTGTGAAGTTTTGACTCTCTGTGCATTAGTAGAACTTCCTTCATTTTTATTGCTGACTTTTAGTTTAAAAAAATCCTTCTCCAGCATTATTCTTGGTAATATGAAGAGGTAGATGTGAAAATTCACCTTCGAATTTTTCAGGTAATTACATGGGTATTTAATTTAATTCTCTGACATATTGTCAACGGGATATTTTCAGTGATGTTAATTTTAATAAATATTAAAATGCAAATAACTTTCTTAAGAATGTCACTAGATTTTTTCAAATATTTTCGTGGGGTTCCTTGTAGGGTCCTCTACCACGTAGAGAAGAGTTTTTACGCTATTTTTTGGACACCCTGTATCACTCGAGACCAGATGAGACCACTCGAGACGAGACGAGACTTTGGTACTCGAGACCGAGACTAAGTCATGGTCTCGTCTCGAGATGTCGAGACGAGACGAGACCAACCCTAAGTCTCGTCTAGTCTCGTCTCGCGGCACCACTACATAAAAATGATCCATTATGTTCCTAGGACCATAAAAATCTTTATGTATGGGGTAATTTGTTCGATCTTTTCCCGCTAGAGGCAGCAGTGTCAATAAAAGCTATTATGTTCTTGTGATTAATTAATTTTGCATTTTCTTTTCGCTAGATGGCAGCGTCAACGATCGAGTGCAAGAATTACTCCAAGAGCATAATTTATTCATAGTTTGCAGTAATTTGTTCGTTTTGCATTTTTTATTTAATATGAATGGCTTAAGTTCTCGATGAAACAACCCATGCTGGAAGGATTCCTGAAGCATTTGCCATTTCACTCGGTCCAACCTAGTTGGCAGAACAGCTCACACGTATTCCTTATCCCGTTTCTCAACAGGTTAATTTACTCGATTTGCCATACCACTGATCCCGATCCTTACAAGATCGATGTTTTTGCACCTTTGGGCAAATCAGACTACAAATTGATTTCCGCTCGAAGTTCGTTTGTTACACCCTCAGTCCCTGCTCCAATATCTTGTAGAGTGTGGCATTATGGAGCTGCAGACTGGGAAGGCCTAAGACCCTCTTTCGACCCTTCCGTGGTCCGATGTTTGCTTTAAATCCAAAAATTCCTCCGAGGCTACCTAAAATTGTACATTCCACACTCCAATAAAACATCAGGTGCTGGAAAACTTTGGTTTAACCATCAGTGTGTCCCAACGGTTGCAAAAACGAACAACGCATATCGTGCCTTGCATAGAAACCAATACGAACCAACTCGATCATCCCCTACGGCTGCCAGAAATGATTACGACCGTATAACCAACGAGGCCAAGGAGTTACACAATCGAGCAAGAAGTGCGTAATATAAATACTAACTGAATACTAAAATGGATATTGAAAAAGCATAGTAGGATCGGTATTCGAGTTTGGTTGCTATAGAGTGGACCCAAAAATTTCGGCTTTATACTTTTTATTCTATCACGAATGGTAAACGATCATTTAATCGACTCAAAACTCGTTGTCAAAGTAACACTTTATTTTTCAATTTTACCCACTCATACGTCAATTTTACCCACTCATACATCAATTTTACCCACTTGTTTAAATCTTTATAATGGCCAAGTTCGTTTTTGTCGTCTTTTTCGTCGATTTGCTCCGAAAATTTGACAGGCACGTGATTTGTAAACTGAAACTGTCTTATCCAGTCACGTGCCTGTCAACATTTCGGAGCAAATCGACGAAAAAGATGACAAAAACGAATTCGTCCAATAATTATAGTGTTTTTGACAGAAATTTGTTGGTTATGTTGCATGATTGACAACACCAGAAATGTGTCATTTTATTACTTTGTCAACTTGTTATAATCTATGTAAAATTTTAGCACATTTTAGTCTATTATTTTAGTTATTGTAATAGATAAAAAGTTGCTCAAGAATAAAATAGAATATTACACACGACGGTAAAAAAGCTTTACCTGTTCGTGAAATTAATCCATCAACATTTTTCACTCACAGGTAAAGCGTCTTTTCACCGTCTTGTATAATAAACAACTATTGTTCAAAAGCATAGCAAACAGATTTATTCCATACCGCATGATTTGTATCAATGGATAAATTATATTTACACTAGCTGCTCCCCGCGGTTTTACCCGCCGTTCAATTTGAGAGAAATCGGATTATTTTTATATTTTCTAATAAAAAATAATACAGTTACGTCGGTTGAATGCGCCAACTTAAATGAATATGACAACGTTGTTTCAAAAAAAAAGTTCAAAAGTGAGATTATGTACCTATGTGAATGAGTTTGTTTATACTTAATTAAATTATGAAAAGAAAAGTGTCCTAAGTTCTTTACTATACTCTCGCAAATAAGTGTACAAAATTTCATGATGATCGGTTTAGTAGTGTGCTCGGAAAAAACTGACAAGCCGCCAAACAAATAAACAAACTCACATTCGCATTTATAATATTAGTTAGGTTTGAGGAAGTCGCAGTTACAGCATTTATAGGATTCTGCTCTAACTTTACAAGCCTTAAGCTCATGCCTTAAGCACATACTCGCCGTCAGGATTCTGTTTGCGTCTGCGTTTGCGTCGGCCTCGCTGGTTACCGTAGTCTCTATGTTGACGGCGAACTGTGAGGCCGACGGCGAGTATAAACGATCTTTTGTGATTTCTAATATTCAATTGGTAACGGCGTGTTCGACGCAAACACAAACGGAATCTTGACGGCGCCGGCGAGTTTATAAATTGGGCTTTATCCTCGTGTGAGCCGGCGCAGTGGCGACATATCGTTACAGTTTTTTTACAGTATTTTAGAGAGTAACCAAAGTTATTACATTTAAAGTAACGGGAAATCAAGGTAGAATCGTATATATTGCAGTTGTCAAGACCATCTACAATTCGGTTATGCTGTCTTAGATTTTTAAAAGTTATCGTATCAATCTGTAGATTGGCCTGACAAATATCAGCATTATTTTTTTTGGAACAAACCTCAAATGCACTTAGCTCAGATAAGTTGTTGAAAATATTTTTGGGTTGAGATCTGATATGATGTTCAAGAGCTTCGTTCGAGTAATCTTCTGACAGTCCGACGATGGTAACAACTGGTAGTGCTGATCTAAGTTCATAACCTTCTGCGAGCTTCTCATTGGCAATGTCTTTAACTCTATACTCACGCTGCTAGACTCTGCGGTCAGAAGAATACCCCCGTCCGACATATGCTTAACTTTGCTTAGCGGGATATTTTCATCTGCAGGTCTTATATGAAAGAATATCCTTTTTTGTTCAAGTGTTATCTCTTGGCTTTCCGCGTAACTAGGCATAGGTATTATTCCATTCGGCTGTACGCCATAAAACTTTCCATCAATGATGATCTGCAATATAGAATCCTTGATTTTGATTATATTTTTGCTTATAGTCAGCACTAAATCTTCCTTGAAATGTATCCATGGGCAGATATTCAGTAGGTAATCGATGTCTTTATGGTACTCTGAAATCTGAATATCGGCGAAAGGGAGACTGGGGCATGACGCGCAGCGCCAAATTAAATCAGGCACTGTCGATATTAAATTTGGGTATACGCATGCATTCGATATGAAAACGCTTCAAGTAGGTACCGGCGAAGGTGAGAAATGGCTTACTTGGAGAGCTCGATATTGGCGTGTTGCAAAAACCACACTGTGAGATCGCAAAGTTTTTGCTTTAATGGCCGCTTACGCAATTGCTATGATGAAACAAATCACTCACCCATCTACTGCCAACATCCAAGCCACTCGAAAAAAAAAAAAAAAGAATTTTCCATAACAATTGATTGCTTTAAATTGGCACTTCTTGAGTAGCGCACAAGCGCTTCTGTTCAGGTCAACGATACTTTTGATTCTTTGCCGAAATACAGCGATTTATATTATGGTTGCTAACTTCACCTTTGGGAACACACTGAAAGCAGGATGGCTAAAACATGTTCCTGCTTTTGCTGCTATAGCCCTGCCTCATCCTGATTCAAATCCCACCCCGGCAATACGTACTATTTTCGAGAAACATCATAAAACTAACCCAAACTAATCCGTCCCCATACTAAGTGTTGATATTTTAGATGAAAAAAGCTAATCCAAATTAGCTCGTCCTCGTAATGAATTCTAGTTTTTGTATGTTGGTATTTCAGACCAAAAGAGCTTAACAAAACTAACCCATCCTTGTAATGAATGCTATCTTGGTTGGTATTTTAGACAAGAAGAGCTAATCCAAATATTGAACTGAAACACCAATCCATCCTCCTAATAATCTTCGGAAAAAACCCTAAACCAGAGTCCATTTGCTCCAAAAAAAAAAAAAAAAAAAGTAATAACATGCGCAACGTATGCAGGAATGTGCTTCAGCGATCCTGTTACAATGTGTCGCCAAGGGTGAACTGGGTGAAGTTAGCAAACATAATAAAGATCGCTGTACCATAGAAGCACAAGCAGGAACATGTTTCAGCGATCCTGCTTCCAATGTATTGTTAAGAGTGAAGTTAGCA